TCCATGCTCAGGTCGATCTGAGCCTTGTCTGAGCCTTCTCCCAAGAAATACGAATGAACGAGGCTGATCTGAGCCTTAGCAAACAATACCCGAAGAAAGTGCACACAACTGTTATCTGGAAGAAAAGATATATAAAATAAAAAATCCGAAAATAACTGGGAATGTCCGGAAGTCGAATGATTTAGCGCGGTAACTCGTACAGAAATACAAAATGTATCGAAATATAAATAAAAAATGTTCCAAAATGCTTACGTAGTCTATATGTTCTGTGCTGATCTTGGCTCTGTTACGTGCCACCATTTTTTCCCATTCACATTGATCCGTCCACGAGGAAAGAGGGGATTCGTAAGCCCGTAAGGGCAGCGATTCGGATGACGCCGAAGTTTTCGGTGGTTTGGATGATTGCTTGAATTGTGGGGTGCAACGTGTCCAAGCTGAATCAGCACTTCGCCAAGAAAACGAAGTCGACGAGTTCGACGAGGCCGTGGCGGCTTCTGATAGCGGCCGATAGATCGATCGCTGTTCATCGCTTTCAGCACTGTCTTTCCGTGTGTGCGTGTGTTGCTGCTATCAGCTAGCTACACGCGCTTTAACAACAGAGAATATCATCATTGTAGCTAAAAATAGCCTGAGACGGACGTCTTCGTGGCGCGAATCTAACGGACCTGATGACAAAACAAGATACCGATGTTTATTTTTAGACTGACAACGATGGTCTCAACCGTAGGACTGTTTGTGGTCACATGGGTAGATGTCAGCGTAATCAGAAATCGTCAACAGCGGTACAGCATCGTTGGGTCAATATCATCAGAAGGGTCGTACTCCGTCACTGGGAAGAAGGAGCGCATTTGGCCCCGATGGGGTTTATCTAGCCTTGACAGTAACTTTTCTGAGCCGAGATGAATTTTCGGCACTGTTCAACTATTACTACCCCAATTTTCCGAAAACAGGATCTTGATCGACTTTTTTCTACGGGGCAGATTTGGCTGAAAGTTGGGTTCTAGGGGTAATTCGACCTCCTGAACACGAATATCACATCCGCTCGGCCTGAAAGTGCCGCGCCAAAATACCCTAGGTCACCAAATCCGCTGAAAACTTGTATACGGAGGTTATTTGACATCTTGATTACAAATATCACATTCATTTTTGGCGCTGGCGCTGATGGAAGACGCTGCGATCATCTGCGCTCTGCTAAGGCTGAGCCTGACCTGAAGGAAATCACTCTCTCCCGGGCTCAGCCTTAGAAAAGCGCTAAATGGCGCTGGCGTCGAAAAATAAATGTCATATTCGTGATCAGGGCATCAAACAACCCCATTATGCAGGTTTTTATCGATTTTGATGAAAAAGGGTGTGGCGCCAAATCAGCGCCTAATGGCGCCAAATGGCGCAGGGCTGAAAACTAATGTGGTATTCGTGATCAGGACATCAAGTAACCCTACTATGCAAATTTACATATTATAAAATTTGGTGGAAAGGTGATGGCGCCAATTGGCGCCAATTTAGCGCCATTGCCGGAAGTGAATGCTATATTCGTGATAAGGACACCGAATTACCTCAGTGGGCAAAGTTTCACCGAAAAAATCTTTTTTTACTTTTTTGGGGTAGTATTAGTTGAATAGTGCCGAATTTTCATCTGTTCGATGAGTTCTCCCGATTTTTTCCCTCTCATATGCGCTATATATACTACCTGGTTGGCGAAGTCCGCGGAGCAAACCTGCTAGGGTATGTGACAGGACAATCGTAATATGCTATGCTGGGCATGGCGAGCGACGCCACGCACGTGAGGGACGAGTTAGTACAGT